TAATTGCATATTGAAAGCTTCTGGGAGATCTGGAGGAATAAGGATAATTGTGTTCCCACCATCCAAATTCTGCCACAGGTTGATCCATGAGAGTGGTTAGTATGGTTTCTGTTCTGTCCCCCTCCTGAAACCAGTCTGTCATGGACCCAGATAACCAGACTGCTCAGTAACTGAAGCCTCACCTCTTTCCCCCAAAAACCCCCCCCCCCCCGAGAAAGGAAGTTTAGAGATTCAACAATAGTTGTCCAATTCCATTGGATCCAGGCTGGGCTAGATGGTAGACCTTGTTATTTTGTGCTAATCCCAAGTGAGTTATAACTGGATCCCTCTATCTCATCCTGTACGTATTCACTCTGCCTTCTGGCCTATAATAGTTAAGTTTTGTCAGTAGAAGTACAGTTAGTATGTTAAAAGGACTTTCTGCTCAAAGATTTAATTGGATAAGACTTGTTCAATTTGCAATAACTACTTTTTAATTAACCAAACCTCAGAAGTTTCTTTGCATGGGTTCCAGTTACAATGCCAGTAATGTATTGCTAGAGCTAAAAAAAGATCTTATGCTTATAACACTTTATTCAAAAGAAACATGAATGTGTTGCATAGATACTTGTTTTTAAAATATATATGTATTATCATGTTACCAGCTGTATTGAAACTACGTTTTTAAAATATGTACTTAGATTTTTTTTCTCCAGCCAGTTATAGCAATACTAGAGAAGAAAAGTGTCACAGTCTACCTTAGTAATTTCAAGGGCTTTATCCTCCCATAGCTCTTAAACAGAGGCCCAAGTTTTTTTGCAGTATGTTGGGTATGATCTACACAGATAACTAAACACTGCTGGATTGTGCTACTTTAGACAGTGGGGATGTGTGTGTGTGTATGTGTGTATAAAGATGTTTCCTGCATATTGAAAGCCTCCTGCATGAATAATAAATAAATAAATAAGACCATGTATTTATGCTCATAATTCTTTTCTCTGACAGTTTTAATAATAGGAGTGGCAAATCTGTGGCTTCCAGTCATTTCTAAACTGCAACCCCAAAAGTCCCGGCCAGCATTGCTAATGATGAGGGATGCTGGAAATTGTGGTTCAATAACATCTGGCGGGCTGCAGTTCAATTCCTCAGGAATCATCAAGGAGCATTCTTTATGTTTTTCAAGATATATATTTATCTACTTGATTGTCATGCCATAAAATCCACATTTAACTAGCTTACTGATCAGAAAGTAGTAAATATTATGATTAGTAGCCGATGAATTCTGCAATATTGACCTCTTTTAAAATAGGCTAAGTTGCTGGCTGCAAATTTGATGGCCACAAATTTTGCATTTTATTGTGCATTGCATAAAGAAATAATTGGTTTTATTGGTCCTGAATCTCTCCATATTTAACTTTAATGGATGATCTCATTTTTCTGTCCATATTTTTCATATCATGCATGATTTTATATGTCTATCTAATGTTTCCTGTTAAATGTTTATAATCCAAGTTTAAAAGCCCTAGATGCTCTAGAGCAGTGTTTCTCAAACTTGGCAACTTTAAGATGTGTGGACTTCAACTCCCAGAATTTCTGCTCTAGACTTTTCTTCCTACTTGTCCCAGTTACTTTTGGGGGGGCATGTTTCCCAGCTGTAAATATCCCTTTCAAATGTAATGATCAGAATGGTATTAATATGTTGATGAAGATTCTCAGTCATCCAGGTGGAATTATCTGGAGATTGAGTCATGGCAACTTGGGATTTTTTTTTTTTTTTTTTTTTTTT